TGAACTAACGTACATGACACGTGAACAATAAAATTTGTAATTGAATCTTTACGGGATCGGCAACTTTGATACCTGCGTAAAACCGAGACCCACCAAACAGAACAGTGACTCGACAACCAATCGTAAAATTGTTTGAGAAATACTTCTAAGACAGTTTTTATTTATTATTGATCCTACCTTAACGGTTTACTAGCCGTAACAAGCCGCGTGGAAACAAGCGATAAGAGTGTTAGACTTCTTTATCATTTTATTTCTTGAAGTTTCTTGTTCAACTATCTGTCGAGTTATCAGATTCCACAGTTGAGAGAGGTGACTAATACAACTTTTGAACATATTTAAATTAGTATTTTACGGCTTTAATTTTAAATCGTAATTTAGAAGTTTCGATGTTTTCACTATTAGTAAAAGTCTAAGGAATAAATAAGCTAAATAATTCATAGCTATATCTCTTTTTATGAATTGATTTTCGTACATTACGCGTCGGAATGCAGCGTATTTTAGTATCCCACCAAAAATATTTTCATTAAAAATGTTGACAAGACGAGAATACTGACCCGCACTATTAAGAAGTTACTAGATCTCAGCCAAGCTTCTAACTCTACACGCCCTGACTCTACAACATACGGCATCATAATTTGCCAAAAGTTTGAGAGGGGGGGAGGGAACTCCAAGTTTTAGAATAATAATTATATTGTAACAATAAGTGGACTTTTTATATATTTTTGTTGTTTGTAGCTTACATACCAAACTTTGATGATCATCAGTGAGTCAGTGACGAAATCTGGATTTTTAGAAATCATACGAGTAAAATCTAAAGTTCAAGAGCTATGCAATTAAAACCTTATATGGTTAACCAGCTTTTGCCCACGGCTTCGCTCGCGTAAATGTCAATTGCGTCCATCAATTTAGCCGGGATAAATAGTAGCTTCTGTGCTTTTCTAAACTATAATCTATCTATGTGCCAAATCTCGTCAATATAGGATAGCTGTTTACAAACATAGTATACATACGTTTTGAAAAGAGAGAGAGAACATAATTACTCTGATAGTTTGGCATCGATAAGGAAAAAAAGCCGTGTGGTGTCGTGGGACACCCGATAGGAACGAAGTTGTGACGATCGAGTAAAACTGATTTGACACGATTTTAATTACAACGCCATCTATGAAAGCGGCTATTACCTACATATTAAAAACAATTAAAACAATTTATACATTGGTAAAATCTCCTTGCGAAATGATTTCCTATCTATTCGATAGATGGCGCTGAATGTCTGACAAGATGACACGAAAATAAAGAGCAAAAAGCCAACATCACGTGGTATTCCCAGGCGGTCACCCATCCAAGTACTAACCACGCCCGATGTTGCTTAACTTCGGTGATCGGACGAGAACCGGTGTATTCAACATGGTATGGATGTTGGCGAACGTTAAAGCAAATTTAATGTATGGTATCCACAGTTAGACGTCAATTTATATTAAAAGTGTCGTTCCAAATTTTCGTACGAATTTTTGCCGTCTAGCCCCCTTTCACAACGCGCGATAAGGAACTTCGTTCCAAAAAATGTTTCCCATACAAACTTGCACCTCTTTTTAAGGGTAGTTTTGAAATATTAGCAACAATGTTTTTTATTACTTTTGATAAAATGTATATATACTGTGTATTATGAAAATGTTACTACCAAAAATAATTAAATAAGCTTCATATAAATTTCCAACCCCCATTTTCATCCCTTAGGGGTGGAATTTTAAAAAATACTTTCTTAGTGCCCTACGTCACCTCAAGAACATTTGTGCCAAATGTCAAGCTTTTAGAACCAGCGGTTTCAGTTATGCGTTGATCGATCAATCAGAGAATCAGTCTGTCAAATTCTTCTTTTACAGATATAGATAAATTCACTATTGACATTATATCCCGAGAATTTTATTTATGTGGTATAATCCAAACCCAACTCATGAGGGTTAAAAAAAACGACCAAGTGCGTAGAGAAAAGGTAGATATAGCCCAATTTGCGTTTGGTTCGTCTTCCTGCGTTCCGACGAACTGCGTTACACGAGTGCTACGATCGTTCGAGGAGGACCTGAGATTCCTACCCATAAAACTGTTTCCTGACAAATGTACTAAATAAAATGTCAACTATAAAATGGCATTTACTATTTATCGTAATCGTAACTGACAGATGTGTTACGCGTAAACGTGAATATTAATTTGGTTGATGTAGAGCAGGCGTGCGGTAGTGATGTGAGCGTAATATTAATAATATGTACAGACATTGAGTTGGCGTTTCTCGATATTTCAGCGTTGAGTGGATCGAACTGCTCAATATTGAACAGCGCGTCACTTGATGGGAGGTACAATTTAATTTCAATCACGATAGAGGGTTCACCAGTTCGATGATACTCGCTTTGATTGTAAAACGAAACCGACTTCACTCTGTAGAAATGAAATTTTATTTCCCTAAGGTTTAATTAATTCAAAACTACCTTTTAAAAGCATTTTTACTTAAAAATGTTAAAGGAAATTTGTAATCCTTCAAGAAATATCATTGAAAGCTATATTAAATTTTATGAACGTTATGTGCAACGAGGCTGTGCCTTAAATTTGATTAATTAATTGTGTAAAATTTTACAATTCATTTACCTCTTATACTAACCTTACAATTAAACTGTTTTTATTATTAATAAGTTCGTACAGTCCTTTGTCATATACAAACAGTAATAATCATTACGCGATCAAACTGCAATTATCAGTCAGCATTGCCAATAAAAACTTCGTTAATGTTCGAAAAGATCTTTGAGAAATAGTTGATAATAATTTTAGTCCTAGCGTTTTCTCCTGTTTAGTTAAGTCAGTTAGTCAGGGGTCGATAAACTAATTGATTTTGTAAAGTAACCAATGTATTCCTATTGTTTATGTATAATTACTTGTACGTTATACTCGTATAATTCAATCCACTAATGTTCTCGTATTGAGCGACTATTCTCTGACCTTTCTAGTTTTGTTTGGTCCGGTAGTAAAATTCCTTTTTTTTAATCCTTTTTAAAAGTGATGGAAATTACATTAAGGTATAAATCAAGGATAATCAAATGCTTCTGGCTAAAAAGGTTTCTCGTAAATATGTTATTTTCGTCCACCAAACGTAACAGGGTACTGACTAACTTTGTTTCTACTTATTCGATTTTTCCTTTTCTATACATTATAAATCTCTTTAGGTTAGGAACGTAAGCAGTGAAAAAAATATACAAATACGCCTTTTGTGAATCACTTTATTTAAGAGAATTTATTTAATACATAATTTATGTATTCAAATAAAGTGACAAAATATTGACTGTAATTTCAGTCGTCTCGAGCTTTTATAGTTGAAAAGAAAGTGAATGTCTGAGTCTCCTAACCATAGCAATTAATACTTAAGTTAATATTGAAAGTATTTTTCGTACTTTAAAGAAGTTAAGGCAAAAGAATAGAGTGTAGATAAAAAATAATCTATTCTCGTATCATTTTCAAGTGTAATTAAAGGTAATTATAAAATCAATTAGGTTTGCCTTTATATTAAGTATTTTACTTTATAGTAAGCTTTGTTTTGGCATAGAACGCGATCAAAATGGATAAAAATCGATTTTGTATCTCTACGTAAGAACATTATTTTATAAACTGTTAAGTAGTACGACGTCATTGTTTGCGAAGACGTCTCGTGTCTCATACCTGTTGCTGAGACGAGCCACCGCACACGTGTTTGGAATACTAATTGGCATTTTGCCGGATGTCGCTCTTTGTATATTACCCAGCTCTATAGCGACGTACAGATCGATGATTTACTTGATTTATTCTCACTGCATCTTACATAATAGCTAGCTGTGCTAAATACTACTTCACATTTTCTGTACGTACAAAAATGTACTACCAAAACAAGTGTAAACTTTAAAAATAGTTCCAACGTGAAAAGGTTCATAGAAGTTAAATAAGCAAATAAAGAATTTCTGATACACCTTAAGTGAATTCTTTTGAGGAATGTAGATAATAAACGGATAAAAATATTATGTGTAATTTAACTTTTACAGTGACTATCACAATTTTATTTGTTCCAGCGGGTAATACGGAAGGTGCAGATTTGAAAACTTAGTGATACATAAAACTTTCTTGCTTATTTTTTAGGCGTTCGAAAATGTAATGTTAAATATTTTATTTTGTATTCTATTCGTTGAAGTTTCAAGGCATAATTTGTTGGCATAAGGTGTTACGTTATCCTCTTAATAATAAATTCATTTTCTAATTTCCTCAGGTTCCACCTACCTAGTCGTTCGGGGTTAAGTGACCAATTCATTGATTGACCCCAATCTCGTAACAATAACGTACGAATGGAGGGGACGATGTTCTGGCTGGAACCGTTTTAAACAAGGTTATAATTTGTGTTAGATAACGGGCAAAATGATATATTTTTGTTTCATAAACCTCATTCCAGGTTAAGAGCTATTTAGAAATATCCGTTTGATAAATTACGTCAAAATTTAGTTTTTTAACATCGAAGCACTTTTTTTTTAAAGATTGGCTTTCAACAGTAGTATTCATATTTATTAAAGGTATACTCTTGTGACCTGTTACAGTCGTGGCCAGACGCACATGTAGGCAGGTACACAGTAAATATTTAATATAAAACTATATAACTTTAATAATTCTATGAAATTTAGAACTACTACTACTACTATTATAAATGACTGATTGCTAAAAATAAATGACTAAAGAATTTTCTATTGTGTTTAGTTAAACATTGCTAGTTTCCATGCTTCTTTGGGATAAAAGCATAGAAACCGCTTAAAAGATGTTTAAATCACTGATATGAATAGGTGATTGAATTCGATCTACACTTTGGTTGCAAAGTTTAGTTCGCATTCAATCCACCTTGGCCTACAATCTACCTACATGTCATTTCAGTAAGTCAAATAGATATGAAACTTAATTACCGCACCTAATAACTCTGAAGGTTATTTTTGATTTCCTTTTGAATCTTATGGCGTGTCGTCTTCTAACCACGGCGGTGGCGCCCGCGACCAGCAGGCCTTGAGCGTCGCATTCACTGACAGCTTCCTCGCCACTTGAATATGCCTGGATCTGGTGGCTGCCAAGTGCAGGCATAGATTTTGAGCTGCCTGCGGAGCCCCCGGCCCTGCCCCAGGACAGCATGGAACTCCGCAGGGACCTGAGCGTCTCCGTTGTACAGCCCCTCTCACTGCCTTGCTATCATGCAACAACATATCGGCGCACCGACGGTCGACCACGAACGGCACACACGAACTACGCGCACTCTTCACCATCAACTTCACTGATTGGTCATCTACATGCTCCAATAGAATGTGACGTCACTATTTGAGTATGGACTCTACCTCAAACAAGTAAACACGTGGATGAGATTATGCAAAGAATGTGACTGGGGCGACCGGCGTGCGCGCGCATTGTCCCAGCGGTTTCATTATCATTGTACAAACAGTAGTATCTATGCCACATGCCTATCATTACCGATGGCAATAACTAATAGGTAGAGCCGGAATATCTGTCACTCTATCTGCCACTAAACCAGCAATTAATGCCTTCTTTTTATTGTCTGTCACTGCAATATGGTGCAACTAAAAATAAAAAAGTTGCGAACACTCAGATTCTTTGTGGTGTCAACGACTAATTATTATTTACAGTAATTAAATATTTGGAACTACACAGGAAAAACTATAGACTGTTAACTACGACCAATAATATACACATTGATGAGTCATTATATTCATACGATACGGCGACGAGGTTTTTAACCTGCATTGTATTTTACAAACGAAATAAGGACATAAATTAATACTTGTCTTTGTATCTTTTTACAATTAAACTATAAAATAAACATGTGTCTGTGATAAAGATAAAATAAGGAAGATTTGGACTCGTTATTAGTCTATAAACGTTTCAATTCATGGTATTCATTGGATCATAAATTTGTCACGTTAATTTGTTGATTCACTGAATTTCACGGTGTTGTCCTTGACACTTCACTTAAATAGTTTAATCCACGTTTTAGACAACACAATTATAGTCTCGAGCCACCGGAAACTCGTAACAGTGTGCGTTCACAGCTAATGAGAACAAACGTGTTCCGTACAGGGAACATAAGAGTAAACTAAAGAGTGTACCAACACAAATATATGCGCAAGCGCCGCGTGCCGCCGCGTCTCGGTGCGCCACTGCTGTCGCGACATTTGCGCCGAAATAGAAATACTTCCAGAGTCATTCAGCCACACTAACGAGTCTTGTCATTTTGTCACCTTCTTGAACCTTGATTTATATTATAAATGTGTAATATTACTTTAAAGTTTTTGTTACATATTACTTGCCTTGTACTTGTACTCAGGTATATAACGTATGTAAGTTTTTTATAATGAACACAGTTTTATTTTCACTTCCTAGCCATTACAGATTTTTTCCTTTGTTATTAACATCAAAAGACCTAGTTATAGTGCAGATTTCTACATTAATAAATAAAAATAAATTATTCAAACGGTTGGTAAAGATTGCGAATATTTTATATTATCAAAAATTCCGTTATTTAACTAAAATATTTCGACATCATCAAAGCTCGACGTCTGGTGTCCTGTCCTATAGAGTCAACGTAAAATCGGGCTACAGCACCATAAATATTTTTGTTACATGTTCCAATGTACATTAGAGAATAGATGCATTGTTGCCGACAATGCGTGGTTGTGAGGGAGCTATAATTTATTCGTCATATAGTATAGTTTAAATTTTTTGTCATTCATAAATATAGTTTAAATTTTTTCTCAACTACAATCTAATTATGTGTTAACTAAATTAATTTAATAAAGGCTTTTCAAAATGGGATATAGTGGGACATGAAATACCTGAGTTTACATTTAGAAAGTGCTTGAGTCTTTTTGTTCAATATTTAAAGTTTTCCAGTATTAGTATTAGTTTTCCGGCAATATTATAATAAGATTAGAAATATGTCGTATAATTTTACGTAACTTTGGGCAAGGTGTTTACTTAAATACGTAGGTAGGTTATAATAAAATGTAAACAAGCAAAAATAGTAATGATAATAATAAATATAACGCCCTGATATTAAACGTTAAGACTTTCTAAGCGCTTCATGAGATAATGGACGTTAATTTTATATATCTGTTATGACCAGCTTTTTTTAAGATAGATACAAGATAATTACAAGATAATTAGTTCGTTATTTACGTTTGCCATCCCTAAGCGACCTTTTGTATCTACAAAACAAGGAGTACGGAAGTGATAGTTAAAAAATAACTTTATATTTTTTAGTCCAAATAATTCTTGCTCCTGTAAACATGAGCGCTTATTAATAATGTATTTAAATTATAAACATTGGTTTTGTCACTGATGGATTTTAAAAACCAAAAAAGTTTAACATAAGTTTTGTTTATAATAAAATTGTTAATTCCAATTCCATTATTTATAATATAAATCGCGTCTTTTCTTTTTTTTTCTGAAAGTAAGTTTTGAGTAAAGTAAATACGGATTTTTTTACTGTAGACAATTTGCTCTATATTCAAAAACAGAAGAAACCCAATTTTATAATAATGCAAAATGAAATTCTTGAACAAATTCCTAAATATCTATCTTCAAATAGTTTAAAATGGAAATGTAAATTGTGTGTGTCTTACTTTAGACATGACATCAATATACTCCACATTGATATGAGAAAGGTGTAAATAGAATGGAATATTATTTATTTCATAAAGCACAGCATACAAAAATAAAACAAAGTTAAATACACATACATTTTTTTTATGTTAGAGGGGGCAGACGAGCAGACGGGTCACCTGATGGAAAGCGACCATCGCCGCCCATGAACGTCTGCAACTCAAGAGTCACAAAAGCGTTGCCGGCCTTTTAGGAAGGAGTACGCTCTTTTCTTGAAGGTTTGAAGGTCGTATCGGTCCGGAAATACCGCAGACGATAACCTGTTCCACAGATTGGTTGTGCGGGGCAAAAAGTGTCTCGAAAAGCGCACAGTAGTGGGGCGCCAAATATCGGTGATGAGGATGAAAATTTAGCCGTGTGGAACGATATAATAAGATCGCCAATTAAATTGATGTATTATAATGTCAAAATAATACGTATTTTTTCATGCTCACACGGTTATATATATATATATATATATATACGCGGCATGTCATGGCATGCCGCGGGATGCCACAGCATGTCGTGAGTCAGTCAATCAGTTTCGTCTGCGCGGATACAAAGTTGGTTACGTCGTTCTGATTTATTACTATTAGCAGTTCTGCAGCGTTGGCTCTTTGCTGATCAGACACAGGCGACCTCCAAAACATCCTTTGCGTCAGACAATATCAGAGGGCCCCGTGTTTCCCATTGAGCCATTCCTACATACGGCATCTTACCGTCCTGTGCCAGAATTAACCCGCCCCATAATTTCCCAAACGTAAAACTTTCGCCCGGTATAGGATATTTGGAAACACCGCGGACGCATCTTGAGTGATTCAAATTATACATATACTTACGTTTAATAAAGTAATTCGAAACCTATAAATATTTGCATTTATTTTCGTACACCGATCAATAGATGTTACTATGATGAGATAAAAATACATTAGATATGCAAATTATGAAAAAGTTTTGTTTTCGTTTCAATTTCTGTTTTTGCCGCCCCCTTAAAAATTCCGCCCGTGTGAATTCAAATTCCACGCGAACGAAGTCGCTGGTACCAGTTAGTATTAACATAATAATATATACCTTATGTATAGGCCAGCGCGCGCTGCATCATATACATACATTAGCGCCCTTCTCAAAATACGATCACTCAATTTTCTTTAAATTGGATACAGAAAACTAACTGTTTTTTTTGTTACCTTAATGAAGTACAAATCACCGCTGGTAATTGTTCTAAAACAACATGTTTTTCGAATCTTGTCATTACTCGTATGACAAGGGCTTAAATATTTTCTCTTTATTAAACGAAATGAACTAAATTTTCAAAATTTTTGTTATACTTGCAACGAAGCAGAAGTAGAAGAACACTATACAAGTTCATAATATTGGTTTACACTAATTACTTATTTGAACTTTCAATTACAATTTACAATATCCAAAATGAACCCGATTTTATTCGCTTCCATATTGTTTCAACTGAAACTCATCATTTGATCTACAAGCAGAGGGTAGTTTATTCTCTCTGTGAAACTGTAATGCTCCAGAAAGAGAGAAGTTGAAACTGTATGTAGAATATCCTAAGTAAATACTTGATTTACACAGCTGAACATATCTCAATTCTATTATAGTATCTATACACAAGACAAGTGCATTGTAGCTAAGTTAGAGTACCTGAATTAACTTTCATGACGCTCTTGGGAAGTCGTTCGTCGCGATCGGCAATTCCGTTGTACCGGGAATAGTTTTCTTACCGGAATATAAAATGAACCTAGATTTCTCGATTAACTAGCTCTGGCATTGACTCATATTTTAGAACGTTCACAGTAAGTTCGTAGATGTTTCACCGTTGTTACGAGTACATTGCATTTTATACATAAACAAAATACAAATGCAAAGAAATGAAATAGAAATAGTGCATGCAGGTAAAGTGCAAATTCATTTTATAAAGGATGTCTCAGTAAGAATGCACTTTCTCATTTTAAAATTAAAACACGTATTTTATAAAAGAGTTATGATATTTTTTTTTGGATTGTAAAGAAGACATGTTCCGATTAAGTATGGAATAAAATATCCGGCTAATGGCCCCCACGGCTGTGATGACAGGCCATTTTCATGAAATTTTCCATGACTTTTACACAGAGATGTGGATGTATTTCACCGATGACGCGTTGAATCTCTGATTTGAGCTCAGGAATTGTTTCTGGTTCATTTGCATAAATCCGAGATTTCACAAAACCCCAAAGAAAAAAGTCGCACAGTGTTAAATCGCACAATCTTGGTGGCCAGCTGACATCAGAATTACGTCAGATAATGTGTTCTGGAAATCGTCGCTGCAATAAGTCGATTGTTACATGCGCGGTGTGGCAGGTGGCGCCATCCTGCTGAAACCACATATTGTCTAGATCCATGCCGTCTAGTTGAAGCCACAAGAACTTCGTTATCATAATCCTGTAACGAATGCCGTTCACAGTCACTGCAATTTCAGCCTAATCTTCAAAAAAGTAAAGCCCAATTAAGCCGCCTGACCAAAATCTGAGCCCCAAATTCGAAAATTTTGTGTCACGTAGCCATTCAGATGGAAATCCACTTCATCGCAGAAGATAGCTTTTTTTCAAAAAATTGG